TAAAACCAAAGCAATAGGAGAGCTGGTGCGGAATATGGTGCATCAGCCAATGTTTACCCTTTGTCTAGGTGGTCCAGGACATTCCAGGATCACAAGCGTTACCAGCCACCTCATATGATACGCGGTTTTCGGCAAACGCCAGGGTCTGCATCCATATCACAGGAGCAGCGCCTGAAACATGGATGAAAACAGATAGGCTGAGTCTGTGAACAGCCTGCAGATCCGAAAACTGAGCACAGCTGTTGGTGCGGACCTAGTTTCCGCCCATCTGGAGCATGTCTTTTGGGACTTTCCATGACTTTCCTAAGTTCTGGTTTGTCGCGCTGGGCGCTTCCCAACATTTCCAGACGTGCCGCGCAGAAAATGTGGCGCTCAATTTCACACCGTGAGCCATTGCAGCTCAGTAGACCTCCACATGGTACCGGTCTGCCTTCCTTGGCTTGGTTCATGACGCTTTTGGAACTCATCTGAAATCCATGTAAAAAAAACATATATATATATATACACATATATATAGTATTCTATTACTGTAATAACTGTTGTTAAAAAATAAAAGGTCAAGTCATGTCAAGTCCACTTCCCAGGAAGGGTAGTCTGTTGGGACTCCTCCAATCCGACACTGTTGGGACTCACAACAGAAAGGGTCACGCGTGCGCCTCAACGTGGACCTGGCCGCCAAAAAGGCTTCCAGTCCAAGACCCCGTCTGGCCGCAAAAACCGATTGGCTGGTGAGACCGATGTTCCGTACATGGATGAAACGGCGAAACCAGGCGGGGGACCTCGGGGTCCCACATCCAAGCCCTGGTGGAGAAACAGCTTCATCAAGACCCAACGTCTGGCTGCGGGCTCCCTGCACAAGACCAAGCGTCTTCATGGCCTTGGCAAACTCGGCCCAAACAAGGCCGTTCTTCTCGGCAATGGGGCCGAAGCACTCCGCCATGCCGCTCTCCATGCCTCGCTGGTCTGCATGGTCTCATATGAGACCGGAGCCAAGGATGTGATGCATGCGGGAGCTTGACAAGCGCTTCACCTCATTATCCTCATTTGACTCCACCTCCTTTGGGGGCAGAATTTCAAGGGCAGGGATCGGCAGGGCAAAAAAGGCCAATAGGAATCCTGAAGCTATCCAGCTTTTGTCCATGTGAATTCAAGGCAATTTGCGGGCACACCCCATGGGAAAAAAAATCTCATTGCACTGGTCAGCACAAGTTCCCTCCAACCAGCGAGGTGGATCTCCTCAATCCTATCACTCACTTTTCCATCTTTTCCAACCGAGGCGCCCTTCAAGCCACACATGTAGACATGAGTCTTCTCATCCTGCATCATCTCCCAAAGCTCTTCGGCATACTCGGCCATCCTGGGCTATCGCTCGGCATGCGGCTGGAAGCGGCTGGAATGGCGTTAAGGCAATGCCAATCGAAATCTTCAGGTTTCTTTCAAAGAGTGAATGGACAAAACATATATATATATATATATAACCGTGAGAATGTAAATGTAGGCCCGGTGTGGGCCAATGGTCCTTCCCATTGGCCTTGGGGAGCCAGGGGCATGGGGGATAAAAAACAGCCGCAGCCACTTGGTCTGGATGTACATCTTCTGTCCCGCAGCGTTCTTCTGCTCGCGGCTGACGGCGTAGTCGTAGCGGAACTGGTCCGGGAAGGCCTTCTTGTAGGTCTGATGCTCGTCATCGTAGAGCAAGGACTTGGAATATGGCACACCTTGGCAGAAGTCAAAACCAATCGGCAACCATGGGCGATATTGCCCCTCCGGCCTTCATGGAAAATGGAATAACCAGGTGTGGCAAACTCCCAGAGCTGTACGTGGCACCCAAGGTGCCAGTGAACGGAGCTTGGCTCCCCACACAGTCTCGATGGATGCTTTTTGGGCGTCAGGGGCGTGCAATGACTTGGAGTCTGACACATACCCATGCCATCCACATCATCTTTCAGGCAAGGAACCCATGAAGAGCCACGCTTTGCCCTTGAACTTGCGGCCGCCATCGCTGCTTGCACCAGCCTTGTCGTGGAAGAGCAACCTGAACAGGGCGCTTCAACAAGACAGCAGCGTCGACAAAGACCTGTAGAGGGAGGCAGGAGTAGCAGCTCAAAAAAAAAGAATAGGCCCATTGGGCCTTTTGGGTGTTGTGTGTGTGTGTCCACCCCTGGACAAAGGGTTCTCCACCTCCACAGCATTTCCACCAATATTCACATGCAGGGGGCCAGCGGCCGACAAGCAAACACTGGCTAACAAAGCTATGCTTGCTCGGTGGATGCGGTGTTTCTCCCTCATTTGACTTTCTACCACCTGTTCTCGCATGTTCAGCTTGCTCAAATCCACAACCGGTGCTCCCCGCCCACGATCCAGTGATACTTCGCCCAGCCACCATGGACGCGCAGTGGCAGCAATACTACTGGAATCATTATTTGATGCAGCAACATCATCAGCAGCTCACCAACCCGGATACCACAACCTCTCCTCCTACCACCACACACCACGCCTACAGCCCCACAGGCACCTATGGACCACTCACCCACGCACTCCGTACACACCACGTCCACCACTCCAACCCGTATGTGACTCCACCGTACACACCGCCATCGCAGCATACACCACCACCACAGGCACCAACCTCACAGCCGGAGTTTCCACCTCCGCCACCGCCACCCCTGCCTACGGCCGAACCTGTCACTCCACCACCATACACATTCCAACACAGCCCACCGCCACCACCCACCACACGCGGCAACACAGCGCCTGCCCCACCACCTCCACACATCCCATCCCCCACACCACCTGTTCCTGACTCCTGGAACCCAACCGAGCAACATTGGGACTCCAACACCCTGCACGGCCACCAACTACATCGTACAATCCAACCCACCCAGTGGTCTCGAAAAGCAGGCGTGGCAGGACTCCCCACCTTTGAGGTTTTCCCGTGGCAATTGGCTTACCACGGCACCTCCGAGTTCACCGCCCGCACCCTGAGCAACGGCAAATACACTGGCTTTATTGCCACCAGAAGCATAGCAGAGTCAGTTTTCGTGACCCATTTTCTCCAACAACTCCGTGAGAACCGCCTTGACCTTGACGGCATCGCGGAGGCTCTCCACACCCAACAGAGCACAGACATTCCCAACAAAACCACCCATGCCCGAGCGTTCCACGCTCCCCTCATCAAACTGCTTATCGACCAACTGCAAACCCACTCTCCAGCACCTGCGGAAGGCTCCGCTCTACGCGCCCTCAAAAGCACCAACGATGAACTGGCTCGTGCACGTCAGAAACTCCAAGACCTGGGCAACCCACTCACACCAGTCAAGAACACCAGCCGATCTTCCGCACCAGCCGCCCCTTCTCACGCACCCACTCCACCACCACCGAAACCACCAGCCCTCACTGACGTCTTGCAACCACCACACCCCACGTTGCAAGACGATATCCCCGAAGGCTGGAACCACCCAGAGATCCAACAATGGGTCACTACTTTCGACCCCACCATCCAAGAAGCTGCGAAGGACGTCATCCGTCTGCTGCAAACCAGCAAAGTCACCACGCAGCAGCTAAAAGAAGCAGCCACAAAGTATGGCCTACCCCTCAACCGGGTCAAACGACTCCCCATTCGCAGCCTACAACAGCTGGTGGGAGTTGGAGCAGCCATCGGTTGCTGACTCGCCATCCTGGCCCAGCAGCAACCCAGCCACACCAACCTCACCCAACTCTTCCACTTGCACCGAGCACTTTCCATGCTCATCCACCGCACCCAATACATCGACCGTGCCGAGGCCATCTTTGCAACCGGCCTTATCCATATCACCCTCCTTTTCGCATACCCTTCCAACACCCGTCGCTCACAACAATGGCGCAACCGTCTCCGCCAGCTCCACATTTTGCCCCACACCTACCACTACCACAACTTCCTCTCCTCCAATTCAGTCTACATCAAGCTCCACTTCAATCCCGACCAGCCCCAACGCTGCTACCATCAGCATGGCCACTTCTACGTTGGCTCCACAGCTATTGGCATCACCCACCGCGAGCACAATCGCCGCGCCAAACTCAAACAACTTCAAAATAACATTCCCATTTCTGCAGAACTCTCCCTACGTTACTGACATTCACACAACAACATCCACCACTACACCACTATTCAACTCACCTCCCATGACACATACGACCAAGCCTGGATCCAAGAGCACCACTACATCGCCAACTGGATGCCTTCACTCAACTGGCCTTTCATTTCCCACCACCTCAAACTCAAAGCTCAGGGATGGCAGTTCGCGAAACACAGAGCCCACTTCTACTCTAGATTAGCCACCCACAAACGACTTTTCCGACGCCTTCGGCAACGCCAGTACACCCTCAGAGAACCCCACCTCTACACTTCCACTAAGCATCACGCCCTCCAACTTCTTCGCAATCTTACCAAGCACACCGCAGCCTCCTTTGAAGCAGCCAAAGAGCTACGAAGCGGCCGCCACACGGACCTCGAAGTCTATGCAATCCGGCGCATGGCTGCAAACCTCGAAGAACCTGGCCGCAGCCGTGCTCTCCACATCCTCAACAAAGCCTTGATCTACCGCAACCTCACGCCACCAAAACCAAACATCCCACTGACAGTGCCCTTCTTGGCCCATGACGACTTTACCAAGCACTGCCAACAATGGCTTCGTACTACCATCCAGCAGCACAAGCATGTCACCATTCCCCTCCACCTCCCCTCCCACAGACTGAGAGAAGCCGCCCACAAAACCCTCCGCTCCCACCTGCACAACCACCGCACATGGGAAGACACCCTCCACTCCCCGCCAGATCCTGCCGACCTCCCCTGTGCCTGCGATCACCTTCGCACCCTCCTGCAGGATCCCGATACCCCTACCATCAACGGCCACTACATCCTTACACTTGGCCAACTCCAACTCCCTACACACCTCAGCATTTTTCTCAACGCCAATATGAACAGCACCTACTACCCAAGCAAAGCTCGGTACTTCCTCATTTTCAAGACGGCCTACACCAAATGGCTCCAACTACAAGGGCTTCCACCATCCCTCGTTCAACACTTACAGCCCTTCCTTGAGCACCAATGGCGCCTTCACAACACACACCTAAAGCAGCAACCCCGCTTTACGGCCCGCCTGATTCGTCAACTCCAAGAACATTTGGGCAAGCACACACTACTCCACCATGCCGATCATGAGCTCCAACAACTTCGGCTGTTTTGCCCTCGCCAATACTTCACTGGCGCCTTGAACACCTGGCAATCCCCCGAACTTTTCGAACCACTTCCCTACATCACTGCCGCCAACATCCATGACCACCTGGCCGCCACTGTCCCCCCCATCCTGCGCACCCGCTACAAGTGGGGCTTCCGAAAAGACTTCAACATCCCCTACGGTGCTGTCCACCTCAAGGAGAAGAAGCACTGGCAAAAAGGCCGTACAATCATATCCTACTTCCAATCACTAAGCGGCAACTTGCTACGCATCACCAGCCGTGCCCTTGACATTATCCTCCAACACCTCTACCCTCAGCATCCAGGCCAAATGTCCATTCCCCAGCTCTGGCACCACTTTCACAGTTACCTCACCCTAACCCCACCCGACATCTCACTACATGCCACCAACGACGACCTGGTCGGCTTTTTCAACTCCGTCCCTCAGCACCGACTCATCGATGCAGTCCACTCCCTTGTCCTCCACTGGCAACAACAGCAATCCACACACACCTTAACGGTGGACGTTCAGGCCACCGGCAATCCTTTCCACCACTCCCACATTGGCAGACACCATCGGAAACACCCTACCCAACGCACCATCCAGACTTCCGACATCACCACCATCGTGGCTTTCGCCCTCAACACATGCATCTTCCGGGCTTGCAACAACACTTACAAACAAATCCGAGGGGCCGGGATTGGATCCCAGCTCTCTCCAGCCCTATGCAACGTTGCCATCACCCTCATTGAGCATTCCTGGCATCAGATCCACAACAACCTCCTTCAACACACAGACCTCCACTTTACTTACTATCGATATGTCGACAACCGCTTCATTGTCCACAACGAACATTTCCTTCAACACCCGGCCATCCAAACCCTCATCCACCACAATTTCTTTGGCGACCCGGTGGAACTCGAACCGGTGGAGGATTTTCATCTCCTCGGTTTCAACATCGACCTCCCACAACGCACCATCACCTACATGCAACCTTCCCAACCCTGGAAAATCCGGGATTCCACCACCGCCGGGAGCCAGCGCTTGGCTCTATCAGGCCTCCAATCACGACTTCACACCATTCGAAAATACACATTTCCACTCTCCAGCGCTGACGCTGCTGCGGCCGAACTCGTGAACCTATATGTCCAAAAGGGGCATGACTATCACGCCTGCCACCGGTTTTTGAAAAAGCGCCGAACGCGGCGATCTGTGTGTGTCCACCCCTGGACAAAGGGTTCTCCACCTCCACAGCATTTCCACCAATATTCACATGCAGGGGGCCAGCGGCCGACAAGCAAACGCTGGCTAACAAAGCTATGCTTGCTCGGTGGATGCGGTCAGAGACGTCTGACCGTGTACCTGCTAAGAAACTGTTGCCCACGCTGTCCACTCCTTTGGTTTGTTTCATGGTGTTTCATGATCCCTTCCCCATAAACAGGTTTCCCACAACCACTTTTGCAGCTGCTTTGCGCCGTTTCGTCACCACAGTCAAGGGAAACAACCTTTGTTCAAACACCTACAATTTTCGCGGACTTTTCGCCATGCTGTTCCGCCACCTTCCTTCCCAGCGGAGAGTTTGAGCTTTAACGGAAAACCAGTGTCGAAGTGTGTGTCGCCTTCCCTTCTGGTGAGGACGTTCTGATGAGTCCCAAATGATGTTGTACAGTGGGCGTGCTAGAAATGCAGCAACAAAACATGTAATGTATTGGGTTCAGCTGGGTTGGTCAGAGCTTTGTTCGGTGGGAGTTGCACCCTTCCTTCAACTCCACATCTCTTGCCCCCAGCGGCTGCCTCAAATACGAGCGCATGGGTGCGATGCCAGTACCAGTGGCCAACATGATGATGTTTGCCTGCCACCAGCGTCAAAATACATGAGGCAAGTCCATGCAAGTTACAGTAACTAGCTGTGATTATATATGATGTAATGATAATGTTTATACATATATATGTGTGTGTGTATATGTATATAAGTGATATATACATATGTATACTCATACTTATATACATTATCTTCTTAGAATTTGCAGTACATAGAATGAATCATATACAGTAGAATGGATAGTGCCTTGCTTGTACCCATTCTCACGCATTTTGGCACATACCGTACCCACAAGCCAGTCGCGATGCTCTCTGCGCGAAAGGGCAGGGAATCTCGGCATCCGAACTGCATCCCGTCGATCCCCGTCGTTTGGTGCTGACGTCTTTCCCCCCCGAAAGTGGTTCCAGCACCTCGGGGTCCTCTGGCAGCAGCATCTCTGCACCCGTGGGGCCAGTGATCAAGACTTCATCGCCTGGGGTCATGTCACAGATGTGGTTGGAGCAGACCTCGGGCAGTTGTGGCACGCCACGAAGAGGATGTGTATGCGTGTGTATTTGTTTTGGCCTGATTTGGGGAGGACTAAGGTTGGATGTCAGGATGTGTGACATGACCAGGAGGCCAGTGCGGCAAGTGGGTATCCAAGTCGCGGTGTTTCAGTCCCATTGACAGGTGAACTTGGCAATCCTACACCTGAATGAAAGAACCTTGTTCATTCTACCAGGTCGCTCTTGCCCTAAGTGAGGCATGCCATTGTCATTTCACGACTTCTGATCATCCAGCCAGTGGCAACATGTGACAGCTATTATTGGGGAGGTCAGGTTGCTTGCTCTATGAGATCATGCAGATTCTATTTGTCCACCGCTTGCTGCATTCATGCATTGTGGACATGGTCCTCCGAGTCTTCCAGGGGCCATCCCATTGCCATCCAACGCGTCTTCCGAAACAATGTCAGGGAACGTAAGCACCAACGGAAGGCTCGAACCCTTGAGCGGAACACAGCTGGCCCCTTCTTGCTTGTCCTGTTGCATTCAATGGTCTGACATCCTCAACATCTATTGAAATACATGCAAGGGCAACAAGAACATGACCTTGAGTCCTTCAGCAAAGCTGCAGTGGTTTCAGGCGGCGTAAAACAACATGGTAACGGTAACACCTGTCCGTCCGAAACTTGCTTTTAAAAAGAATATCCACGACCAACTCGACCAACTCCACCCAACTCCCGCATTCCTCCCGAGATGGATCCCACCGCGGTTGGTCAATGGAACCACCCCCAGAAAAACAGTCACAGGGTCCAGTCATCCTCCATCCTTCCACTTTGGAAGGCACATCCCCCAACTAGGAGACGTGGCACGAAACTCGCACATACCCCACCCACTTCAGATGACTGGAGGTCCAGAGCTGGTCTTCAGGATCCATCTTCCATCTTGCTCCGACCCGGGAGTTCAGAAGGGAACATGCACACCCCAATTCTCCCCCATGTTATCTCTCTTGCTCTTCTCACCTAAATGGATTCCAAACCCTCTGCAGTCGCTTAAATGGATTCCAAACCCTCCGCAGTCGCCCGGGTCACCGTCCGCCATTTCGCCCGGGTCCGCGAGTTCCTCGCGCCGAGGATCGCCGCGGTAGACCTGGTTCTCGGGGTAGGCGGTGCCCGCCTGGCGGTGAGGCTTGACGGACGGGTGAATGATTGGTCCGTGAGACGTGGCGTAGAAGAACACCATGGGTTCTTCCATATGTTGATCTTTGACGATGTTTGAGATTGATATGATATAGTTGATACTCATCTGATCGGATTTGATCATTTCTGGGGCCCAAACAGGAGAAAAACAGTGCTCACCCAAAACTGTGCGGCTCGTCCTCACTTCGCCCAAGGAGTCGGCCTTATCAGGCTTGTCCTCACCTTTCTGACGGTTGGCGAACTTGCCATCCACCTCGACCACACGCTTCACGCACAGGGAGACCTGAGGCTTCGCTGTGCGACACCGGTTCACTCACTGCGCACTGCGCAGTAGGACGAAGCTTCAACTGCCGGGGCCAGTGCATCGAGCTTCGACTGCCGGTGCTGGCGATGCCGTCCAGTCCTAGAACTGTCTTCAAAAAGTCCCAGGTAGTCGCGGAAATGAGGCAATCACGTATCACAGATGGAAGTGCTGTGTGATACAACATCCCAAATCTGGCCATCCACATGTCAATGTTCTTAAGGACCCCAGTATTTCCGAAAGTGACCCATCAGATGACTTGGTCGCACCCTGGCAACTCGAAAGCCCTGATACCTCCGTTTGCGCCGCCCAAGTGGCTGTCTTGGAGGTCTGATCATCGCCCACAGCGGAGGAGGCGATCGAGTAGAGGCGGATCTTGGCAGGTTGCTCGCCCTTCCTTGGGGGAATGCGCGAAAGGCATCGTGGATTTGCATGTTTCATGCGCGCGGTGCCAACTCACGCGCATTTCAGAGAGTGGGACCGTGCAGACCCATGCTCAAAAGTGGCCGATCTCTCCCAAACCATCCATGGATCGAAGAGTTACCTAGATGGATGGATCATTTTCATGGGTGTATAAGTATAAATGTGTCGCAACTCGTCCAATCCCAAATGGATGGCTTGGGTCCGCAACCGAGCTTCTTGTCAGGTCCCGGCGCAATGACACCTCGCTGAAAAGGTGTAAGACATCCCTCGCCAAAAAAAACACACAATAAAAGATACTAAAAGGATAATAGGACTTGAGGGGATACAATCGAATATAATATACAACTACCCAGCTTGGATTTGCTAAAGAGGAACCTGGACAATATTCCACCTAAAAGGATTCGCCAATTGCCAAAGTAGGTGAGTAATAGAAAACCTGATCCGCAAAGCAAGGAGAAAAACATCACAGCAAAGCCCGAGCCACCAATGGACTGGCCCTCGATGTAAGGAACCTTGCCTCCATGGTCGAAGGTCACATGGGTCGTCTCCCAGTTGGCATCGCCAGTGGGTTCGGTCAAGGTCTGTTTATGCACGTCATTCTCAAGCACCTTTCCCTGGTAAGGCGCCTTTGGGGAGAAGAGGTTCCATGGGATCTCCTTGCCGTGCACCACCTTCACGCCCTTCTTCTTCACCGCGGCCGCGCGGCACGCGGTAGCCGCCGGACGGGCTGCCAGCAGTCCCAGCCCCAGTGCTGCCGCACCAACACCTGCAGCACCGGCAAGGCCAGGGCCGGTGGAGTCGCGGGAGCTGTGAGGGGCACCACGGAGGGCAGGCGCAGGGGCAGGGGCGGCACTGGGTGCCAAGAAGGCGGTGCTGGCACCGAGAAGGGCTCCGACGGCAGCAGCCTGGGCCATGGTATCAAATGTGATGCAGCAAGGAGCTTGAGATAGACAGATCTGCGCTGCGTGTCGGCAAAGGTTCATGGCCCCCCGTCAGATCCTACTTAGCACAAACGCGATGCTTGTGTAACCCATGCCACCGAAACCAATCTTGGGCTCCAAGTTATTCCAGTAACACTTGGATCCCCAGTGGCGCAAAAATAACTGCCCTGCTATTCCAGCACATGTTTCTCTCTGAGGAAAAAACATGTAGCCAGGCAGGTGTCCATGCGGCTCATTCCCCCATGCCCATCATGCCAGTCTGATTCCAATCAAAACCAGTCCCGCTTCTTTCGATTCCAACTGCATGCCCTGCCGCATGCCCTGCCTTCCCTCACCGCGGACCTCCGCTGCTTGAGCCGCAGAAGACTCGTTCACTGCCCAGCGATGGGATCGATGACCGGATCCACCTTCCCTAAGATAAGTTAAGTAAGGATTCACGATGATTCACGTATGAATCTTGCACATCTTCTCACGTACTGCACATGCCCGCCAACATCCATGCTCAAGATCTGCAGCGTAGAAGGCTGGTTGCCCGCCATCTTTTTACCACAAAGCAGCCACGAAGCTTTGCCCTCAGGATTGGGAGAAGTAGACATCTTCCATGGGCAAGGGGTTGCCTGAGCTGAAGATCTTTCAACCGATGCTCGTTCTTGACCGTCCCCCACAGGATTCCATGCTCGGTTCCAGGTGACACCTTGTTACAAACCGTTGCAAACGCGATGCCAAGGGCCTTTCGAAAGCTGCCCCCGGGTCTAAATGCGGATAAATGATGATACAGTAGATGATCGATGTGTCTTTCCGAACGGCCACCTACAGCGCCAAAGTTATTCGGGGCCCCTCAAAACACCATGGATGGATGCGCCAAACAGTTCGAGACACTACACCCTACGGCCCTACGGCCCTACCTATACTTACATAACGGGCCACCTACTGATGATTCGATCTCCGTCCTGTGCTGCCAGGCTTTCTTTCTTGCCAGTCATCCAAGATCAACCGGTCAACCCTTGCGCAGAAACTGGGAGGAGTCCTCCGGCATCTGGTCCAATCCAAAGTCCCCCAAATCGATCCAAACGCTTTCCAAATGTTTCCAATAATTTTGAGTGGGGATTGGCTTTGCTTTTCTATCTATGAAGGGGACCATGATATTCTGGGGGTCCAGATAGTCCAAACCCGATCCAGGAGGCTCTCGCGGCGAAGCACGAAGACGCTTCCACTCTTGGATCCTCGGGAGATGCCTCGCGACCGGCGACGGGCGACGCATCGAAGAAGGTGCTGCATCGACGCGCCTTGTTCGGTTGACATGGTGCGAACGGGAGAATCAAGCGCCGTTATGCGCCGTTCGTCACTTCCACCATTGTACACCGTCGACGTGCGGCCCAAATCCGTTGGACGCAGGTGGCATCATGTTCCGCCCGTTTGCCATGGATGACTTTGTTGGTACATGTTTGTCGTGTCTCACGTCCAGACCAGGTCCTGGACTAGGTCCTGGTTTCGCGGGAGATGTCTTTGAGGAGTCCGGACGAGCTCCTCCTGAGTGACAGCTTTGGGCGCCCAGTCCCGACACGCACGCGCGACGCACCGTGGCTTGTCAAGTCTCCCACCGCTGGCTCTCAGGATCCACTTCCAAAAAATACGGCGATGCTACTGGCGATGAATAATCAATCATGAGACAACTCCCCAGCTCGCTCCTAACAAATCTGGATCGACCTCCCTTGGTCTCAAAAGGGCGTTTGGAAGATTCGTGTGATGTAGAATGCTGATTTACAAAACATCCCCCCATTTGAACTGTCAGACCTCTTCATATTTTGCGTTTGGTTTCATCAAGAGTTTACATTAGCTACTTGTGGAGCACCAGTGTCCAAAGCGTGGTCCTCTTTCCAGTCAGCCACCGCCCGGTCGATGCAGGACCGTGGGCGTCGCGGCCATGGCCTCCAGCAGCAGCAAGGCGTCTTGCCAGTGACGGCCGGATTCACAGGCACTGATGGCTGCACTGTAGCAAATGACATTCGGTGAAAGTTGCACCTGTACCATGTCCATATACACCCGCAAGGCTTTCTGCCACTGAGCGCACTTCGCGCAAACACCAATGGTCGCACTGTAGCTGATCGTATCCGCCTGAACTTTGCCATTGGCCATGGTGCCAAAAAGCAGCAACGCAGCCTGCCATTGCCCGCCCTTCTCACAAGCACTGATGGCGGCGGTGCAGCTGATCACATTCGGCAAAAGTTTGACCTTGGCCATGGCCTCAAAAACTACCAATGTTGCCTGCCATTGGCACCCCTTCTCAGTGGCAGTGAGTGCAGCATTGTAGCTGATGGTATCGTGCTGAACTTTGGCCTTCACCATCGCCCCAAACAATAACAGTGCCCCTTGCCATTCACCGCCCTTTTGACAGGCGTTGATGGTAGCAGTGTAGCTAGCGACATCCGGAAGAAGTTTCGCCTCCAGCATGCCATCAAATAAAAGCAAAGCTGCCTGCCACTGGGTGCTCTCTTCGCAGGCGCTGACAGCCGAATTGTAGCTGATGACATCCTGCTGAACTTTGGCATTGACCATGTTCCCGAACAGCAACAGCGCACCCCGCCATTCACCACCCTTCTCGAAGGCACTGATAGCAGCACTGAAGCTAACAACACTGGACTGAAACTTGGCCTTGGCCATATCGCTAAACAACCACAAAGCTACCTGCCACCGACCGCCCTTCTCACAAGCACTGATGCCCGCATTGTAGCTAATGACGCTCCACTGAACCTTGGCCATGGCCATGACCTTGAACAACACCAAGGCTTCCTCCCACTTTGCCCCCTTCTCGCAGGCAGTGATGGCTGCATTGTAGCTTGTCGTGTCCAACTGAACTCCTGCCGCAGCCATGGCACCAAAGAAGGCCAACGCTGCCTCCCATTGGCTGGCCTTCTCGCAAGCACTGATGGTGGCGGTGTAGCTGATGACATTCGGCAGAACTTCAGCCCTTGGCATCGCCTCCAATAGCAGCGATGCTGCATTCCATTGACCCCTGTTCTCACACCCACTGATGGCTGCATTGTAGCTGATGGTATCGTGCTTAACTTTGGCCTTCACCATCTCGCCAAACAACAACAATGCGCCCTGCCATTCACCACCCTTCTCACAGGCGTTGATGGCGGCACTGTAGCTAATAACACTCTGCTGCACTTTGGCCACAAACATAGCCTCAAACAAAAGCAATGCTTGCTGCCATTGGCCACTCTTGACACAGGCACTGATCGCCGCGCTGTAGCTAATGATGCTATGCTCATTTTGTGCCTTGACCATGGATTCCAACAATAGCAATCCTCCCCGCCATCGCGCACCCTTCTCGAAAGCACTGATGGCTGCATTGTAGCTGACCGTGTCCTGCCGCATCTTGCCATTGCCCATCCCCTCGAACAAAATCAATGCTTCCTGCCATTGCCAGCACTTCCTGCAAGCACTGATGGTCGCATTGCGGCTAATTGTATCCTGCTGAATGTTTGCCCTGGCCATGGCCTCAAGCAAAAGCAACGCCTTCAGCCAAAGTTTCGTCCTGGTACATGAAAGGATTTCCAACTTGCACTCACACGCGCTGAGCTTGACACCGCCTAAACAAAGCGTGATGCCCTCAGTCGTGACGGCGTTCCTCATTCCAGTGAGCTCCCTGCATGACGTCCCTCTTCACAACGAGTGCCCACTTGAAGGAGTCACAGGCCCTGAGGTGAAACCCACGCTCTGAAGTTGACAAGTGCCACGTGCATCACAAAACGCCCTCGTTCAGGCGTGGATTCAGCAAGCAAGCTGACTCTGTCTTTGAACTCTGCTCTGAGTTGGCGGATTCTGCTCCGAAATTCCCAGCATTCGGCTGCCAGAATTCGAAGCAAATGGCAGAACGTTCGCCTCCACACTGCTCCAACATGAACAGGATGTTCGGTGCTCCAGGTTTACAAAGGTTGTTTGAGCCACATCGATTCGTTTGGTCAAGAAGCGAGACGAGTTGCGGAGGGGTTAGTCTTGCCCATCTGCCATCAAAAGCTGGCATTCCCTGAGCTCTTGAAATGGACGAACGCACTTGTGAGAAGTCATTAGCAAAAGTTACAACTTCAAGGAACAAAGCAACTCGTCCTAATGGCAAAAAGTCAACTGTCATAATATTGTACTAAAGTTAGTTCATGTTAGTTCACCATCCCCAAGGAAGGCAATGGATTCAAGCTTGCAGCGTACTAGGAATACACCTGTCCCTGGTTCCAATGTTCTCCGGCATAGAGGAACCAATGACTTCAAGTCCCCATCACAAAAAGGTACGTGCAGGTCCCTCATGGTTCTACAGTACCCCGCTCCTCCTCGCTCGTCCTTGCTTCTGCAGAACAATTGACCTCTTCATCAGAAGCAGAAACAAAGGCGGCAGAGTCG